GGGGGCGGGGCTAGGACGAGGCCCGTTCCCTGCCCCCCCCATGGCCCGGCGGGCAGTCGCTCCTGCAGGGGACGCGCGAGCAGCGCGCGGCGCTCTGTCCCCGCGTGGGCTGGGCTCTATGGCAGGCGCCGTTCCATTCCCGCTGTCCGCCAGCACTTGAGGTTTATGGGGAGCGGCCGCTCTAGCTCGTTCGCTCTATGGTGTTTGCTGTTCGTGAGATTCCTTCTAGCCTGACTTCCCTGCCTCTATGGTAGAAGTTTCAGAATAGCAGCCGTGTTAGTCTGTATCCGCAAAAAGAAGAACAGGAGGACTTGTGGCACCTTAGAGACTAACAAATTTATGGTAGAAGTGTGGCGCTGTAGGCAGTTCTCGTCCCTCCAGCCCCTCATCTCTATGGTGCGGATCGCCCATAGGAGGCGCTCTGGCGTAGCCCCTCTACCACTCTATGATCTGTAAAAAGCAACAACGAGGCCTGTGGCCGCTGATAGAGGAACCGGGTGTTGGAGCCTGAGCTTGCGTGGGCGCATGCGCGCCTGGCGAAGTGGGACTTCACCCGCGAGCGCTCCGGCCCCGGTACGTCTGTTAGTCTGTGCGGTGCCGCGGGACTCGTTCCAGCGCCAGACTCACCCGGCGCCTCTGAGCTATGGTATTTGCCACCCGCAGCTGTCGCTCTAGCGAACGAGTCTCCTCTCTATGGTAACTCCGCCCGCAGGAGTCGCTCTAGGCAGGCGGACTCTGCCCCGCTGTGGTATCGCCGCTCTAGTCTCAGTCTAACTGTCGTCTATGGTTTTATGCCGGCTGCACGAATCGCTCTAGCCCGTAACCGCCTCCTCTCTATGGTGCTGTTGTTGCGCAGCCGCTCTAGTCCCGCTCTCTGTGGGATGGGGTTTCCGGTTACTTCCCGGAAGCGGAAGCCTAGACCTGCGACGTAGGGACGGGACACCCGGAAGCGGAAGTGACGAAAACAGGGCCCTGTCCCCTCTTTGCTGTAACGGAGACAGACTCGGAAGCTGCCGCTGCCGAGACTCGGGAGGAGCCGGAGCCGCCTGGCGGGATGGTGAGACTCGGCCCGGTCCGGCCCCCGCGACCCCGCCTGGGCTCCCGTTGGGCCCCGACCCCGGCCTGGTGCGGCTGGAGCTGGGCAGGGACCCTCCCCCCCCCCCTCCCCCCCC